TTTTAATGTTCTGTGGCTCCAGAAGAGTGTTTGCTGTGTCACAGATATGCTTTCCTTTACCCTTTCAGCCACTGCTCCTAAGGCTGTTACTTTAGCAAAATAAAGCATAACAGTGCTGTGTAAAACACCCTCATCAGCTTCACTGATTTTTTCCTAACAAGCCCTTAGGGTGACAGCATGACTAGAAGCAAAAAACTGCCCAGGCTTGGGGCATGAGCAGCTAAGCCAAATGTCAGGAGTAGAGAGGGCTTATCTATGACACCAGATACAGACAGAGCTCAGTTTGCTCTTGCTGTGCTCCAGTCCATTCAGCCAGCTCAGGAATATTAACTTAGGAATTATTCAGCAGCTTTATACAGCTATACAACCTTTCCACTCCTGAACACAGACGGTCTGAGGGAGCAGAGCAGTGCCCTGTGTACACACAGTGTGCCCAGGTGATGCCTGGTGCCCTCACCTGAACAGCTCCGAAGCCAACAGAAAGGATCTGAGCTGGAACATGGCCCTTCCAGAAGGCTGCCAGGCCCTCCTCCCGGAAGATGCGCTGCACAGCTTGCAGGATGCCGTGGTACTTGGCCGCAGGGTTTCTGGCAGAGAGCTGCTCGATCTGGAGCTGGAGGAAATGGGAGAAAACATTTTCAATTTCACCCTTCAACACTGGTTCAAGTGTCCAGTTCAGGAATTCACAACCCTGTCAGCCAGCCAATGCTACGGGATGACATTCTGTCTTCCCACAGAACCACATTCAGATCTGACTGGGATGTTATTCATGAAGGGCTCTAAAATAATAAAAATGTGCATGAACACAAAGATAAGCAGGAGGGATGATAGTGAAATTCAGTCAGAGAGTGTAAGTCATTTACAACAACAGAAAGAGAACAAACTCTGAGAAACACAAGATACCATTCCCACACAAGTTAAGTTGTATAAATAGAAGCGGTGGACACAAGATAGCCCTACTTCCTTGCATAACCTGTACACAACGTAGGTGAGGCCTGACGAGCAGATTTAGTGCTCTCTGGCTGCACAGGTGACCTGTTCACCCAGGACAGGACCAGCTCTGCTCCCTGACAGGCTCTTTCATCCCGGCCCCCGGGCACGCCGCGAGCGAGGTACCTGAAAGCGGATCTTGAGGACGTCCAAGGGGCTGACAAGGACCCGAGTGACCAAGCCAGACGCTGATCCTGCTGCAGCCGCTTCCACCGTGGACACGCACCTGCCTTCGGGGTCGTAACCCACCATGCCTGCCGGCTGTGCCCGGCCTGGGCAGGGGCACAGGAGCAGTGAGCCCCCACCCCACAGTCCCCTCACGCCAAGGCCCACAGCCCCCTCCTCACCCCAAACTCCCTTCTCACCCCACGGGACACACAGATGCCCCTCTGCATCACTCCCTCTGCCCCGCAGCTCCCGGCCCCGCCAGCGGCAGCCACCAGCGTGGAGCCCGAGCCGAGCCCGGCGGCACCGGGGCTGTCCGGCCCTGGGCCGACTCCCGCCGCGCCGCCTCACCCTCAGCCGCCGGCTCCGCACTGCGCCTGCGCGCCGCGGGGGCCGCTGGGAGATGCAGTTCCGGGAACGGCGCCCAGGTCCGCAACACGCGCGGGATGCGGCGCTCACAGAACCGCGGATCGGTGGGGCTGGACTAGCCCTGAGAGCACGGAGCCCAGCCTGCGAGCCAACACCACCTTGTCAGCCGGACCATGGCACTGAGGGCCACATCCAGTCTTTCCTTGGACACCCCCAGGGACAGTGACAACTCCCTGGGCCGCCCATTCCAATGTCTAATCACCCTTTCCATGAAGAAATTTTTCCTGATGTCCAACCTAAAGCTCCCCTGTTGCAGCTTAAGATTATGTCCTGTCACTTGTTACCTGGGAGAAGAGCCTGAGTCCCATCTGGCTGCACCCTCTTATCAGGGAGTCAGAGAGAGCAAAAAGGTCACCGCTGGACCTTCCTTTCTCCAGGTAACAACCCCAGCTCTGCTGCCCTGCCTGGTCACACCCGTGATCCATTCTCCTCCCCAGCTCCCTCAGCCCTGCCTGGTCACTCCTGTGATCTGTTCTCCTCCCCAGCTCCCCCAGCCCTGCCTGGTCACACCTGTGGTCCATTCTCCGCCCCAGCTCCCCCAGCCCTGCCTGGTCACTCCTGTGATCCACTCACCTCCCCCAGCCCTGCCTGGTCACTCCTGTGATCCGTTCTCCTCCCCAGCTCTGCTGCCCTGCTCTGGACCCACGAGCCAGGGCTGTGAGAGGGGAAGGTCAGCATGCAGCCCGCACTGCCCTCAGCACTGCTCCCACTGCTGCCTCCGCCTTACACAACCACAGACCAACAAACCTGTCTCCATAAAGCACAGGGGAAGCAAGATTTTCTAAGCAACCCAATGTACAGTGAAACACCACTTTGAGAAACATGTACTGCTACAGCATTACAATAAAACCCCAAGCGCTTCAAACCACACCGTGAATTTTCCATACTGACTTCTGGCACAAAAAAAATAAAGAACTGTAGAAGTATCCACGCATTTCCACCTTGACATAATCAGTATTTAAACACTGTAATGAAGAGCAACTGTTTAAAAATCACTCAGTGAATTCTGGCACAAAAAAAGAAAAATAAAGAACTAACTGTAGAAGTATCCACGCATTTCCACCTTGACATAATCAGTATTTAAACACTGTAATGAAGAGCAACTGTTTAAAAAACTCAAAACTCCCATGTAGGCCATTTCCTATTGTCTGTTAACCTTGACTACACCATTCACCCTCACAGGTACTTTCTGACCATTAGCAAAGGCTGGGGAGAAGCTGCAGAGCTGCCCACACACCTTGTTAGCCCAACAGAGCCATTCTTCTTCAGGTAGCAGAAGTGAAAACAATCTGCAGGGCCCGGCCTGATGGAGCAGATCCAAAGCTACAACAGCCTGAGCCTGGCTGCTGTGCTTACACCAGCCCAACACCACCTCCCCCTTTCAGCAAAAGGCTCCAGAAATGTCTGAACTACAAGCTCAGTCACAGCTAGGTCACTTAACTGAAATAACAGACAGATGCTCAAGTGAAGAATTCAATGTATATTTATTATTCACAGTTAATTACTATCTACCAAATGCTGCTGCAGAGTTAAAGGATTAAGTACATAGGCCTTTTTTTTTATTTAAACACAGAAAATTTTTTTAATATATATACACACACAAGACATATGTCTGCAAGGCTGCATGATATACACCAATTCCAAAATAAGGAAACAATCAAATGGTCCAGGTGTAGAATGCCATAGATTCCTTTTCCAATCACTTTACAAAGTGGGAAGAAAGTGAGTGACAGCTAGCAAGGAGAGGGGGGAAAAGTAATACTCTACAGGGTAGCTCTCTCTTTCATTTGCTGGAAAATCAAAGTGTAAGGCAGAGTTCATCTCAGGACTAAAACTTTTGTAACACTTACTACAAAAAAAGGCACCCTCCAACAAAAGATTGCCCGTGCTGAGGCAGGGCGGGAGGAGATCTCCGCTGCAGGTCGGGGTGAAGGGATCCAGCCAAACGGCCGCCAAGGGAAAAACAACGCAACTGAAGATTGGCACAGAGAGCGCTGCGGGCTGATTGCTTTCCTTCCGTCCAATTTAATGTCACACTGCTCTGGTGAGGAGCAAAGGGCCACCAGAAACGCCCCGGGGTGCGGGGTGGGGAGAACAGTCACACACAGCCTGCTGTGAACGGGAGCGGGCGGGGAGCTACTTCAACAGGAACACTGACCTGAGGAGGGAGGAGAGACTGGAGAACAGGGATGCCAACTCCACTTCTCAAGAGCAACACGACTGCAAATACTGCCTATCCAGGCCGAGGAGACAGGCTGATCACATGCATCACGTAGAAACATTCACTAAGAGCGTAAAGTTTTTTTTTCAAGCACTATTTCTTGAGGTTTCTCTGCATTATGAAGTTTTCCACCAAAGGAATGTACATTTTGTAGGACATCTCAGGGCTATTATTTCTCAAATTCACCCCTTAACCCTCCCTCCCCAAAATATTCTTCCTCATTTTCCCTCATCATAACTTTCCCCTTTCTCTTACTTCTTTTGAGGCTCCTGGTTGCAGCTCTCCACCTCTGAGCAGCCTAAGTTGCCACTTGAATGCCATGATTTCATTTTTCTTGGAATAAGGGAAGTTGAACAGTAAGACAAATCTGAAGATTAAAGCTCCATCTCTGTTTGTAGATTTTTTCTCAAGTGTCCATTGATAAAACCACCCTCCTTTGCCCCCTTCCCCCAAAGTATTTATTTACACATAGGCAGAAAAAAAATCCTCTGAAAAGCTCTGGACTGTCCTTTTAACTTAAAAAATAATAAAAAAGAAAATAAGGGGAAGGCACTATGGAAAAAATTACAGAATGTGCTCAACCGTACACCTTTAAGAAAAAACAAAAAAGCTGTCAGCACAGCATTAATAGACTTCAGTTGTACGTTGGAGTTTCTCAAAGCAGCTCTGTGACTCAAAAGTAAAAAATAGAACAAAAAGCCACACAACTCTTCTCCCTTCCTCTGTTTGGAAGCTGCTGAGCTCCAGAAGAAAGTGCCAAAGGAGAAGAGACAATAAAAATTAGATTAACACCTCATCTTTCCCAGGCAAGAAATGCTGAATGTTGAAGGCAAAAGCAGAAACTGATGATTTTTGGTTTTTTTTAAAGGCAGGACTGTGGATTTGGTTCTTCTCTCATGTCCCTTCATGTCAAATGAAGACCGTTTGCAGAGAGAGAAAATACCAGCAGAGTTTCTCCCTTTTCCTTTAACTGCATTGGCTAGGACTTTATATGGCATCAAAACTTCATGCACTGATGGACAGAGGAGGAGGGGGAAACAAGAAGAATTGTGGTGGTGAGACCTTAAGTGACCTTAAAACACTCATTCGCAACGAGAGTGAATAAAAGGGGATAACCCAGGAGCAGCTGAGGAAATTTGTTATTTTCATATTTTTCTCTCTCTCTCTCCTTTTTTTATTTTCCTTTTTTTTTTTCCTTTAAGATAAGTTTTGGTGTGTAAGTTGAACTCTTCCCCCCGCCCCTGAAGTTCCGTGCTGAGGGAAGGAGGATCACCTCACGGTGACAGGTGACTCTGGTTTTACCGCCGTGTGATTTTTTAGGTCACTGGCTGCAGTTAGGCTCTGTATGTGTATTTACTGTTTCTCTGGTTTCCTTAAATAATCTCTAATATTTCTCTCTAGATGTTCCGGTTCACTGGGGTCACGTAGTTGCGTGGGAACATGCCCGTCTGTCCGCGGCACGCTCCCTTCCACCAGTTGGGGTCAGAATTGTCAAGGACTTGGATAAAGTCTCCGCGATGGAAGCCCAGCTCTCCTTCCTCTTGGGGATCAAAATCAAACAGGGCCTGAACGTATGTTGGTTGCTGAAAAGGGAACAAGAAACATACACAGTGAGAATCACCCACGGTACTCCAGGCACCTGCTCCTGACACTGAAGATTAACAATAAACATTTGGGCTACTCCCTTTCTCTGCAAGCCAGCTCCCAACAGCTGCAACGAGGTGCTAAAACAGTAATGGACAGGCTGTAGAACACCTCAGAAAAAGGTCAAATTTCTCTGAAAGAGCTGAAATAGAGCGGATGATTCGGATGTTTTTCTAGTATTTTTCACTCTTTGTGGCCCATTGTAGATCTGTGTTGTATAGCAATACAATAATATTGCTATTTACTCGTCCTGTTTTCATAATTGACAGCACAAATATTATTGATCTACACAAAGTTCTCCCTAAAAATTGCATGTTGACATTTTACACATTTTCCTTAAACTCTTCTGTCACAGAACATTTTGCCTCGTCAGCATGTCTTCCCTTCTGATGGAAAAGCTAACATTTCATTTAAAATACATTTGCAGTCTTAAAATCATGAGGACAGGAAGTTCTCTTCATGCTTGTCCTTTTCAGCCAGCTGTTTTCTCACCCTCTGTTTATCCCTGACCTGACAGTGCAGAGCTAAGTGTTAAGTTCAGACAAACTGACAAAGTTGCCTGTGGCACCTGGACAGCTGCACAAATTCCACACCCTTGTCTTCAGGCTAGAACCAGAATGCTGTACAAGGAAGCAAAGGGATTTACCCAGAACTGACAAAACATGCAGTTACATGAAATACAACACTCTGATTGTCCTGGGAAATGGAACAAAATAAAAAGTTGGATATACACAAGCTGCTCTGCTAGCACTTCACAACAGTTTTTGGATTCTCTTCACACTGGCTAGATCCAAACCAGAGATGCTCCATATGCTGTAGCCACCTCCTTAGGAAAGCCCAGTATCAAAGCCTCACTGAGGCCTGCACTTCTGGCTATGATCAGGTATAAATCAGAACAGAATCACAGAATTGTTTAGGCTCAAGAAGACCTTCTAAGATCAGCAAGTCCATCCATTAACCAAGCACTTCCCTATCCTTTCTAACTGTGCCCTACAACAGGAGCAAATCCATTTTTTAATTCACAGGAATCAAATGATCTTCCTGCAACAGAATCTATAAACATTAAAACAAGTCAAACGTTCAAGCAGCAACAATAATTTTGCCTCCAACTCCAGGGAGGCCAGGAGTGAAGGTAGGCTTTGCACAAGAATGCAGCTTATTTACCAGTAAAATTTTGACTGCAGGATCTAAAGATACACTTTAACAAGTAAAAAATTCAGTCAGCTTCTTTCTTACTCTAACTAAAATGCAATCCCACTTCAGACTGTGGTTGCAATGGCATGACCAGGGCACTCTATGGGGACACTTCTCTTACCTGTGGCACCTGCTCAATGTCCCGGAGAAATATTTGCTGGTTCCTGGAGACAGATGTGGATCTGTGATAATCTACCAGCTCGTTCAAAGAATTGAACTTCACCACCCAAAGGAAATACTTGCCAGCCCCATCTCTAAGCACCTTGAAGTGCTGCACATCATTTCCAAACCTGTGTGGAAAGAATGAAGAACACAAAAGAGCACATTATTAGCCATGGGGAGCTCCTTCTGGGATCATCAGCACAGAGTCTGGAACAAGAAGGTCCTTCAGGGCACAGTGAAAACTGTCAATGACATTGATAACACAGATGCAATCCCATAACTGGAATCACATGTACTTCTTGATGTATGTTACATATGCTGTCACCTGTGCTGCTGAAGATGGTGCAGAATCCCAAGGACAAATGCCAGGGACTTTGCAAGGTCACAGCAACACAGCTGCAACCTGGTGCTTTCCACTTCACATCCCCAAACACAGAATTGCCAGTCAAACAGCACAAGCACTTTGGTTTAGCTCTTCACACCCAGCAGTTTCACAGCTGACTCGAGCCACTCTCAGCCTGTGCTATTCTTGCCATGGTCCTCTGCTTCTCACAGCCCCAGTCCTCCCTCCCACAGCACCACTGGGTACATGCAACAATGCAGTGCATAACCACCAGTCCCATTACAGGCAAATTCCTGGGAAAGCACTGCCACAGGGAGGGCAGAATTGGCTCCTTTGGCAACCAGAAAGAACTTGTGCAAAAGGCTCTCTTATGAAACAAAAGGACCTCTCTGGTCTTGAAAAAAAAAACCCCAAAACAACATGTAACAGAAAAGAACCCCCTCAAACCCCGAAGTGTTCAAAGATGATGCAGCACACACAAACCAGCAACTTCAATTCCGTGGTTTTTCCGACAAATGATGGCATTCAATTGAAGCTGCATTTCCAATGGTTTTACTCTGAATAAAGAGGAACTCTGGAGAGGTCCACTGGGATTTTCCAGATGAATGGCACATTGGTGATTTTACTTCAGCTTAAAACACTGGAAACAGAAGACAACTGTTCCCGTTCGGCATGCATGGCTCCTATACATCAGTGGGGAAAGCTAACACTGCCTTGAAACAACTCCTGGGTGCTGCCTCTGCTCTGGGTGCTTCCTCAACCTCTGAGCTTCTCACCATTCCAAATGCTACAGATCACTGTTTAGGAAAAGGACTTTCCTAAACCACAGACACAGGAAAAACCACCCAGCTGAGACATTACCACCAGATGGCAACACCAGGCTGAACAGACAGGCCCAGCTATGCCATTGTAACTTTCTGTTTCTTAAAGGAATGCACTTTCTGCAACTGAAGCTTCCATTCATATCTAATATTCCAGCCTGAATGACTCTATCCAAGACAGAAATATAAACATCTCTAAAATCAGTGGCTTTAATCCAGTTTGCTAGCATGACTCAGTGCTGCTGTACAGAAGGACAAAACTTTGGTTACAGACCAAAGATGACCAGAAAAACAGAAACAAATCTTGTTGAGACAGATCACTGACAGCCACAGGAAACAGAGCCAGCTGGAATTGCACATGAATAATAAAAATGTTGTAAGGATTCTAAAGAAAATCTTGTTTATTTATGTTAGAAAAGGGGAAGAAAATAATTAAAAAACCAAAAAAAGTCAAAATCAACTGCTGAGGACAGATTCCCTCCCATCCCCATCCTACATTAAATTACTTCACATACAATTTCAAGCTTCTAATCCTCTATTTCAGTGACTTCAGATCAGAGAACCACAGAATTGCTTGTGCTGGGAATCACCTAAGGACCACCTCATTCCAACCCTCCTCTCATGGGCAGGGATACCTTCCACTAGACCAGGTTGCTCCAAAGCCCTGTCCAACCTGTCATTTAACATTTCCAGGGATGGAACAGGCACAGCTTCTTTGGGAAACCTGTGCCACAGCCTCACCACCCTCACAGAGAAGACTTTCTTCCTAAGCCATGTGAAATATACTTGTAGAGTTCAAATGCACCTCTGGTTTCACAGCTCCATGTCCAGGCCTAGTCAATGGGAATATTACCAAAGCATGTGCCAAGCAGAGAAATCATACTTGCAAATGCACAGAGGGAAGATAAGGTAGTGGCTTGCACTGCAGAGGAGGAATGAAGGAGGATGGGAAGTTGTCCACATTGGGTGCTTTGTGACTGTAAGAGGGAGGAATGGGATCCACAAAGAGGCCACCAGACAGTGCCTGAGCCTGTGTGAGCCACATGCCACCAGGTCAGTCTTGTGGGCTCACTGCAAATCAGAGCAAAGATGTTTGTTCTATCAGAGAGGGAATAAATGTCACTAGAATAGGAATGCTACAGGGCATCTGTGAGATTATTCCTGCTCCTCAGTGTTGACAATCACCTGCCCTTTACTCACCAGTCCAAAGGAGCAGCAGATGCCTGATTAGCACACAACTGCTCCTGGGCATGACTTACTTGACTGAGAGGGAGAAGTCCCCAGGAGCACTCTCACTCTCCCTGATGAGGAAGGCACCATCGTGTCTCTGTTTGCCCAACATTTCTTCAGCCTTCGCTCGGGGAATCTTTCCAAAAAACCACCTGTGTGGGGAGGAAAAGAAAACAATAGGAAAAGTTAAGAATCTTAATCCATTCATGGAAGAGCCAGAAACACCACAGCTCCGGAAACAAGGTCTTGTCTACGCACTGCCCCATCCTGCACACGTGGAAAGTGCATTTTGTATCTAAATCAATTTCTGGTCTCTTTCGGATCAGGTGGTAAGACACATCTACTTCAGCAGAGAGAATCAGTATCTTCATCCAGCAGCTGTTTGCTCCTGCAGCCCAGAGTCCAATCTCTGAGCCCTACCAGAGTCCTGTGGTCCAAGACAAGTATCATCTGTCAGAAAGCTGAGGCAGGTGCCAGGACTGCAGTTACACACAGATCAAGCGAGAAAAGTTCCTTCAAGGTCTCTCTGCTCCACTGCAGAGGAGTGCTGAGCTAGGCATGGATTCTGTTCCAGAAAAGATGCTGATGACACTTGTTTCAGGAGCCTCTTTTCTTGCTTTCTCCCACAGGCAGGACAACCCAGCAGCTTTCACAGGAGAGTCACATGAAGGAGCAGCCTCATGCAAACCACATCCAAAATTCTCACCAGCCACAGGCTGACCATGACACCAAGGCTGAACCTACCTCAGGCCACTACATCGTCAGCACTGACCAATAGGCTGGTCACGGGATCCTTGCCCCCATTTACATTTACATTTCCAGACTAATCCAAGATTAAAGGCAAAGAAGGGATGAGTGGTAGGTCACATGGCATGAGAAAAGCAGAAGCATCTTCACAACTAAAAAGCAGAGCTTTCAGCTCTGAGGAACAGATCACACAGGACAGCAGCACTTATCACACCCACACCCACGCAGATGACTGACCGTAGAGGAAAGCATTTCATAACAAGAGCTCCACTCACACAGCCCACTGTCTGCAGTGAAGGTTTTGCTGCAGCAACAAGGCAGGAGTTGCAGAATCCTTCTTGAAACAGTCATTCTTAAGAGAAGCTGGAGCTCTCATGACGTCAAGAAGTCACCAGATCTATCTCTGTAAGGGGAAACTACCTCTAGAGCTGAAGAAGGGCTGACAATTACTTGGTTACCAAACACACTCCACTTGTTTCAAACTCTCGTTGTGTTTTTATCCCCTGGAATAAAAATTAAAAGCTTCCTCCCTCAACCATCCTATTCCCAGTGGTTAAGAATTTCATGGTATTTTGTACATTCTGGGTGGCTTAGCACCTGTGCTGCTTCTTGGTACCTGAGGTGAGGAGGTGGCAGAACACCATGGGAGACCTATCTGCCCCTCACTGCACACTGCTGCCCACAAAAATCAATCAAGAGAAACTATTAAGTGAAACTCCTTCAGAATTCAAAGGTAGTATTTAATTTCCTGGGCTTTTGGCACTACTGTCAGAGAGACGAAGAAGTCCTGAATTTTCTCTCTGCCAAATGCTGCTTGAAACAAGCTTTATATTAAGATTTTACATGTCTCACCATACTTTTTGTTTACAAAGTATCTTAATCCTGTTTAGTTCTCAAATAATTCTCAATTACTCATGTGACAGTTTCATCTTAAACACAAACAAAAAACAACTTCACCTTTCTCTATAAAGTAAGAAGGAAAGACTGAAAGAGCTTAACAGAATCCTTCCTGAAGCCTCCACAGTTCACCTGTTTTCCCCCTAAATTTTACTGAATCACTATAAAGTAGAAGTGTACCATTCTTTTAAATTAAATAACATTTCCAAAGTGACAATGGCAAGCTATGTTTTCTGCTAGCTGCTTCTAACACACTTCAAATAGACAGACTAAAAATCTTTCACAATTCTTAAGCTTCCTTGCAGTTTTGTAGCTTTACTACTACATTAGCCAGAATTAAATGAACAGAAAATCCCAGAGATGAAACAAAGTCATTCTGCAGGACTGCTGTCTACTTAAGAATACAGTGGTAAAGCAGAAGTGTTGTGCACATATGTTTGCTACAGAATGTCTGAAAAAATTAACAAAAACCACAGCATGTCAAAAATTACTTGCTGAGAACTAGGGCAAGTGACAACAACATTCCCACAACTTTTCTTCTGAAGGGTAAGGCTGATAAGGCTTGACTCCAACAAGCTCTGTAATGCAGGTGAAACACATCCTGTCAGCACTGCAGAACTGAAGCAGGCATTCCTGCTGATGCTGCACAGCCAGAGGGAGCTGCACTAATTGTACAGCACAGGTTCTCATCGCTTCCAGCCTCCCCTCAATCAGCACTTTGGCAATTCCTTCGGCTTCACTTCGCACAATCATTTCCCTTGGCCGAGCTCTTCCACAGAAATTACAATGCTGCAAAGTGAGACTTCAGCAATATCCCCAGGACAAGCTGATAACAAACACAGAGACCTGAGATAGCCTGGATCAGATTCATGGTGTGTTTCATGAACAGCAAAGTCTTCCCCTGCCCCCTTCAAGAGCAAGGTGCTGCTGTGCCTTCACAGCAACCTCCCTGCCCAGAGTTTCCTGTAGCTCTTCTCTGTCCTGCCTAGTTCTGCTCAGTCCTTGCTTCGTTAATTGAGGTGGTAATTCAGATTAACCCTTCAGGTTAATCCCTAGCTAAGTCTGGTAACTGAAAAGTGCCAGATTTTCCATTCATCTTCATTTGCTGGTAGTTACAAAGTGATCTGTAAGATTTGCAAAATACAAGTAAGGAGAAACACGACATTTGATACCAGCTGTGCAGTTGAAAGATTTAAATTTTGGATCCTAGGACAGGATTTAAAGCCATATTCAACTGCTTTCTTTCCAAAACCTCTTGAAAACAATTTTATGGTACTCTGAGTAAAGGAACATTCTCTTTCTCACTGCTCAGCTGCCTGCAGTTTGCTTTGTGTATGACCTGTGACTAGAGAGCTCTGCACTACAACTAAGCTGACATTATGCTATAAAAACTTCTGCATCATTTCCCAGGGTTGTTAAAATGCAGTAGTTAAGACTCCCAGCATTGCTGACACATGGCACTGCCTCCCATCCAGATGCCATCAGCAGTTTAAAACATCTTCAGATAAGATCAAATTAACTCTGCTTAAAAACCACTATCAAATTCGCCCACTTGCAGGCTCAAATATTGTTCATTCCCTTTTGATACAAAAAAAGGTGAAAAACTGACAGTTCTATTCCTCTAAAACAAAACACCATGGAGGATCACAGAATAAACTGATCAGCATAGGAGACATCACTGCAGGATAACTCAAATGCCTGGAAAATTGTTATGAGAAGATAAAAGCATCAAATCAATGCCAGAGACATTGCAATGTGTATTTGTGATCCCCAGTGGCCTGGTACAATCAGGGTAAACTAGACACATTACTACAGAAAACAAGGCTTTAAAAATTTTCAGAATTTTCTTGTGTGTCCTTGCTGCACTTCCCCCCTGGCTGCCCTAAAGTATGACACCTCTTCTTCCTTCTTGGGGCCAGGCCCTCAGAAGCTTCCTTCTGCTATTTCAAAAGGGCCCTTAGAAAAATAATTCTTGATTGCTTTTAACTGCAATATCTTCATTATAAAATGACAGTCAACACTTACATTAATCATCAGTTTTTGTGAGCAAATGAAACGCTACAGCTCCTTGTGAAACCCCTGATTACAGGTTTTGCTTCTCCCTCTTAAACCTCCCTTTTGAATCTGTTACCCAGAGTTGCTATTCTTGTTCAGGTGTTGCAGGATCTCAAAGGTTTGCAGAACCAAAATTTAGTAGAAGACAGCAGAAACACATGAAGTGACACAAGAAAATACCCAGTCACGAAATGTTACACTTTTCATATGCTGGGTTCATTACACCTAGGGGGAAAGGTTTGAAGCAGTTACTCAAACACAGCTCTTTGGAGCAGCAGTTCAAGGCAACAATACTTGTGTACAAGCACTTGAGGTCAGCCTGTTTTGTGAGGAAGGTGTTGGACCAGATGACTGTTACAGGTCCTGTCCAACCTTAACAATTCTGTGATTCTATACTCAGGATATAACAGACATACCCCAAGTTCAGCTCCAAATACCCTTAACCTTTTGCAGGGCTGTGATTGCAATGATTTTTACTCTTACCTGCTCAGTAGACAAGCACAGACACTTTTCCTGGGGCAGTGGTAGTGAAAACTCTCTACTAAATGGTTTTCTGCTGGTTTATGGCTGAAAACTCCAAGGCTGCTCTGTCTGACTCTAAAAACCAAAAGAGCAAGCACCAGAAAAGCCTCCCAAAACACCCTGCTATGCAGCTACTGTGAAAGGACTCAAAACAAACACTGCAGCCAGAGACACACAACTCACCAGCCATCCTTTATCTGCCCATACATTTGAGTAGATCAGGTAAAATTTAGCAGAAAACCATTGTTCTGTTTGTGAGAGTGCCCAGAGTAAGACCAAGAGAGCCCACCCCAAAAGCTCTACTTACGGATGGGGTTTCATTTCTATGTAGTTCTTGGGAATGAAGCCATCTTTTCCATTGAGTTCTGCCTTGTACCAATTCTGATCGCATTCTTCATTCAAAACCTGAAGGAAGGAAGCAAACTAAAATTAAGCCTGAGATACATTCAACATACAAGCAAGACTGATGAAGGTACCAGGTTAATTCTTCCCATTTGTATTGAGCAGTTTTTACATTAACAAAGTTAAACACATTCAAACAGCAAATGTAGATTAACAAAGTTCTTCCTTTTTGTTTTTGAAGGGGATACTTTTCTTGCTGTAATTTTAAATGTGAACAAAAGATCAGGAATCACAAGAAAGGAGCCACATAAAAAGGTAGTTTTAAAAAGCACAAATTGATATTTCAAAGCATACTTGTTTTATTTTTAATTGAATTTCTGTCAACTGGTACGGTGCAACAGGCAAGCCCGGTGCACTGACTGAAAGTGGCCCATCCAATACTGTATTATGTTCTGTAAATAAAACCATGCTATTGTTTGAAACCTCTCCTCAAGATGATTTTGTGATGGTCAACACAAAAAAGTGCCTCAAGTCACAGAAGTATCACATGATTAGCATTGCCTCAATGCAGGAAGATGAGGAAATGCAAAGAGAAAGAAACATGAATGCTGATCCAGAGATCACATACTACACAGAGAGAGTTATGGTGAAGATATCCAACAAACCCTCAAACTGACTCTTTTGCTATGCCATTATGTTTCTTTATTTCAAGGGTGGTGAGAGGAAATTAAAAAAAAAAGAAAAAGAGAAAGTAAAAGCAGACTTGCAAAAATCTGCAAGTGCATGTTTCATTCTTACAGTTGACAGGAATGCATCAGAAAATTAAACTCCAAAGATCACTGCTTGCTACCTTTCAAAACTGTGACACACCAACACCCTAAATCTGCCTCACTGCTGACCGCTATGTATGACAGAGAAAAACCTCAAAACCTGCTGAAATGAAACGTGGCAAAGGAAAAAGAGCAAAATGTGAGTCTCCCCAGTCAATTACAGGGGGTAATAGTTACCTGGCTGTTCCTTCACTCCCAAGGGAAGAGGCTGATGGGATGTACATTCCCTGGGTGCCAGCACTTCCACTGGGGAACTAGCACAGCAGCAGGGCCACATCTACAGAATTTAGGTGAGCAAAGATACCCATCTTTAAGGCCCATTTCTGGATATTTTCAGCTGAAAAGGCTTTAGCACTTAGAAGATACCAAGTAATTACATGTGGATGAAACATTCAAGCTGTCTTTTGTGCAGTTACTACTTTGGGCTTCCATGCATTCATGTACAAGCACTGCTCCAGCATGCACAGCAGAGCTCAGTCTTTTAGCTGGCACAATCTGAGCACAGGTCATGGGCAGTTCAAGCCTGGCTCTGTTACAGGCTCTGAGGTAAGAGCTCACACATGAGGGCTGCCCTGGATCAGCTGATGTCTGCTGGACTGCCTTGGAGCTGCAGGACAGCAACCTGGGCAGGGACTGATTCCTCAACATGAAATACAGGGAGAGACATCAGCAGGAGCTCTGGCATACTGAACAGGGACAGAGATCAAAAATAGCTATGTAAAAAAGTGAATTGCACAGAGACCAGGGAGGGCATGAGCTGAAGCCCAGATCTGTAACTCAGTCATGTAAAGATTTCAGCACATAGCTTTCAAAAAATCAGTAATTTGAGGCTGTTCTGTACCTCAAGCTGACTTCACTAGAGTCCTGTACAGTAAAACACAACTCAAACACAGCATATTGTAATAGGATTTCTAATAAACTAAATCTTACACAATGGTGTGCATTCCTTTATCAGAGCTATCTCCCACGAGCTTTGATAAAACTCATGCTACAGAGTAATTTCATCACCATCAGAGAGCAGTTAAGGGATCTGGCAGTCTGTTCTTTTTCCAGAAAGAATGGGTAAATTGTAGTTTCACCTGAAGGACAGTGCCACAGTTTTGGGGGTTTGGCAGTAGGTATTAAAAAGTTATCTGAAATTCTAACGCCCAAATGTAAATTATTTTAATGAGTTTTATCCTGCTCTGAAGATATGTTAATAGATTTGGAGGAGCCAAATCACATCGGGCTTGGGGTACTCATTAATGCCTGGCCTGAAGCCAAACGCCAGCGAGGGAGCAGTGCTGAGGGATGCATGAAAGCTTTGTGACCAGAATAAAAGATAGCTGATTAAAGGCAGGGTAAGGGAACTGCCTACATATCTGCACGTCCAACCTGTGCAAGGTTCTTCTGCTGTAGTGACGAGCCCTCCACAGCTCCCCCTGAACGGCTGTGTTTGCTCCCAAGACCTTTTCGTGCCTCACACCCCCAGGCTGAGCTATCTTCGCCAGTAGTCCTTTCTAGGATCACTTTAACGAGCTGTCACAGCTCCATTCACACGCTGGCAGGCAGCCAGGGATCCATGCCCTGGGTTACAGACCGGAGAGCTCCACACAGACACTCACCCTGTAAACACCCCTGGCTTCCCCTTTCTGGCTCTTCCAGAGAGAACAGAACACACTGTTTGCTTTCCAAAGCTCCACGTTCCCGTGTCATTTCAGCGGGAGTCATCTCCACAACACAGATCTACAAAACCATTTCTTCTGACAGGGTCAGACACCCCTGTGTCCAATGCCTGGCCAAGCAGAACTGACTTGTACTGAAGTGCCTTAAATTCAGGACAACTTTGCAGTCACATGCTCAAAGCTGGAATTCTGGCAGTTCCTATGAAGTTATGGAGCTATTATCATGAAAACTGTAGAATAGTTCTGTAAAATCTCAGCTTTCAAAGAAAATTATGCCATTAACATCCTTTAGAGAAATGTAACTAAAAAAAAAAGTCAGAAACACACATAGGAATCTTGTGCATTGATGTCTCTGTCTTTGATGTTTACATCTGACATTGCTCTCTTATTTTAAACCATAAATCCGCTGAAATGAAAGCACTGACTTTAAGTAATTAAACCATTTAACTGCAAAATGTTTTATGAAAAACACCCAGTAAATCCATCTATTCTATATCTCCAAGTGACTTCCAGATAATAAATCATATTAAAATTTATCATCTGGATATTAAAACACAGTGCTATGACTCTAAGAAAAATAATTATTCTTAACTGAATTACAGTAAGATTTCCTTGGACTTACCAAAGCTACAAAATTTAATTTAAGTACCATTGCATCACTAGATTTTGCTTTGAATAATTTGACAAGTACAAAACAAAACCACAAATAAATTAAGTAACAAAATGAAACTTTAAAAGATTCACTGCTCCAAACTGGACAGCCTTCAACATCTGCAAAAAATCTGAAACACTTTTTTAGCTCAACTGTTCAAAACTGCTGCTCTCTGGGTAGGTCAAAACCTAAAGCGTTCCTCTGCATCCAATCCCATGGGTGCCATAGATGCAACCAGGTCCATGCCAGAGTGACTCTTCTTTTCACACTGGGGCATCTGTGCCTGAGAGAAGAAGGAGGAAGGATATTTTTATCCCCTCCATTTGAAGCCATGCTGCCATGTGATGTCCTCAGCCCGCAGTCAGCCCTGTTTTACAGTAAGAGTGGCTCAACTGCGCCCGGCAGTTTCCCAGTTTGATGACAGCTCTTAGCAACAAAAGCCCATCTGTTCCCATGGAAATGGGGAAGAGGCACCGCAGAAGAGTTGCAACAAAGCAGTTCCCAAATTTCAGCTAGAACAGTTCACACACAACCATCCCCAGGCATGTTCAATTCCATACCTAGAAAGTATTTCCAAGCACACCCTTGGGAATTGTACATCAGCCTCAAAGCTCTCAAAACCAAACCACTGTCAGGAACACACAGGCACTAAACTGGAACATGACAAGCAAATCTGGCTCAGCTCTCAAGCTGACACCCACATGCAACATGAAACTAAATATAATGCCTTGAATATTACGTGCTGTGAATTCAGCCAAATTAATCAGCATGCTTTGGTTTTGGAGAGACAACCCCCAAAAAAATGTATTCAGAGAGGGCTCTGAGTTTTGGCTGAAATTCCTCTTTTCCCTGAACTCCAAGGTTTTGGGACTCTTACTATGCTAACTAAAACAGAAAGTGTAACAACTGCTGCAGTAGCACCTGTTATTGCCAATGCAGTTTTTCTCCTCCACAAAGTCACACTGACAATGCTACAAAGAAAACAAAGCGGTACATTAAAAACATTTCCAAAGTCTAAAAAAATCCAAGGAAAGCACTCACAACACTCAAACTAGGACAGGAATTAAAATTTATTAAGTGAATAAATGTTTCAAAGGGAGCACTTCTGCAATTGAACTTCTAAGCCTGGAAATTACTTGTCCAGGATGGAACAGCCCCTGGCAGCAGGGTTCTCACCCTCAGAGAGGTTGTTAAAGCAGAGGTCTTTAACACTGTTTTTCATTTCAGAGAAAAATGGCTCCTTTTCTGCTGTGAGAGTTACAAACTAGATATAAACCAGCAAGTAAAAACTGCATCAAGGGAAACTGTCTGGATTCAACAAAGCAAGTTCACCACAGCCCAATGCAAAACATTTTTGTTCTCTGTGTAATAAATGGATAGTGTGATGGTGGCTCTCACAGATGTTGAATGTAAGAAGTTCTGTTAAGAGCTGGTTCTTATATAGAAGTTGTGTAATGTTGAAAGCTGATCTCTGACCATCAGAAGGGTTTAAGCACAAAGGACTGCACAGACTGGGGACAAAGGAGGAGCTGGGTCTGAAGAGTGACATCTGCACAAGTGTGGGGAGGGTTGGCTTCCCAGGGGTTAGCTTACCAACAGCATGTATTGGGGCTGGCACACCCACAGCATGCACTGGGGTTGGCTTACCAAGCCTATTTTTAAAAAGTGAGGTGTGGTTTCTCACATCTGCAAATTTATTGTAAAAGGCACAACAGGGCATTCAAATTCATTTCTTCAGGATTTTGCAAAGACAACCCAAGACATGGCCAGGTCACCTGCAGCTCCTGTCTCATCTTGTGTTGAACAAATGAATCCTCCTGCCTGTGGCTGTGTGTTACCAAGGTGTCTGTGAGGCAGGAATGGCATCCTAAGGAAACCTGGGGAAATCTGCCCATCAAAATGACACTGTGACTCAGA